TGGATGGAGCTAAATGCACAACTATTAGAAAAACCCTGTTAGATGCCACCAGGAAAGGGCAGCATTGATCTGTGAAGCAGTGGAGAGGCTGTGGTACCTCAGGAGGAGCAGCACTGCTCAGGTTGAAGAAACTGCTGCCAGGATATGGCTTGTTCTGCATTCTATAAATCTGCTCTATGTGGAAGAGGGGCAACAAGATATTATTTATTTGGATGGAAAACAAGAGGAAGTAAACACAGCAAAAAAAAAACCAAAACAAACAAAAAAAACTAGAAGGAGCATCTCTTGTCAGATGAGCCCCAAACTGAAATCTCTTTGGCTCGTTTGTCATGCATCAAGCTCACCCTGCACATCGCTAACATAAAGCTAACCCTAAAACACAATCAACCCTGTACCTGCAGCGACAGTGAAAAGCTTTAGAAATAAGCCTGTTCATTTCTCACCATCACCGTTTGCCTTTGTTCTCGTTCAGTTTACCTCACCAACGCCTCCATTTGTGAACAATTTAGTGTTACACCTCACACAGCGCAGAGGTGGATGCTTTATTTCTAATATAGATCTGCAGCAGCTGCTATATATCTGCTATACAGTAGATATTTGGAGTTCAGTTCCTGCTGGAGAGGAATCTTTGGAAGTATGGAGAGAAAAATGTTCAGCAGATGTTCCTTTAGAAAATTGAAAGGTTTTTAGCATGCAAAATGTTGACCTAATGTATAGCTTTACTATTTTAAAGCCTATACTGTTACTTTTTGTAAAGCCTGTGGTGGGAGCCAGTAGTCTGCTATTGTAGGAACTGATGGGGAATTTCCAATCAACTAATCTGATATTTTTTATTTATTTAACAGATAATCAGAAATCCTCCTAGATCACTTAAAACATGCTCAGTTTTCTCATTAAATTTAATTTCAATTCAGTTTATTTATGCAGCGCCAACCATCATTTCAAGGCACTTTGTAGAGACAATTGATTCAGATCATCCTGAGAAATCAGTTTTCTAAACCTAGCTGTCACTGACTGCAGTATTTCCTCCTTGTAGATGTATATTTTCTAGAATATCCATCTTATTGTCCTTAAATTTAGTTTTACTGGAGTTTTCTGGAAATAAAATGTCCTCCTACAACTAAAGCATGCATTTTCCTGTAAAATGTAACAAAATTTTATGTTGCATGTTTTCTTTTGCTGGCCGGAACTTCCTAAATAGTGCATATAAACTTGCTGCCCGTCATCAATGTCGTTTGTTTTATCAAAACAAACCAACGCCTCTACATCGGAGCAGAGCCCCCCCCTCCCACTCGGGACCTTTTGTTGACCCAGTCAGGAGGGCCTCATTCACAACAAACTGTTCTCTGTTTCCATCACAGTACAGTCTGGCCTGTTTCTTACATAAGCGGCTTAATCCAAATCAGCTCTGCACTTCAGGCCCAGAACTGGTGCACTGGGCGGATTTGAATAGAGCTGCAGCAGTGGCTGTTGCTTTTCCCTGATGCTGGCGGTGTCTGGCGCCACCTAGTGCAGGGTTTATGGACATGGCTTTTAGAGCCATGTGACGCTTCCCCAGTGTCACGCCAGGCTAAAGGCTCATATGACCTCCGTCTGCTAAGCATAGCTGCGACAAACAAGGCAGCTTTGACACCTGAGAAGCAGACGGGTGGCTGGAGGCCCAGAGTGTAACTGGACACGCCTCTGATAACGTCTGGGCCACTAAGAGACCATTACAGACTTTAACTCATCCACACCGACGGTGTAAGTTTAACATGATCTAAATAAAAGGCAAAGGAGTCGGCGTGCTGGTATATAGACCTGAGAACCAGGTGATAAACATCAACACAAACCAACCGATTCCACGTAAAAAAGATTAAAGATCAATTTAATGGAACAACATAGTGATTTTTAAGACTTACAGTAAGAAATTAAAATCAAATTTTACATCATTTTAAACTGACAGGAAGAAGATAACATTTTGGAATGACAATAAAACAGAAAAGCCTCAACACAAGCAAACCCAGCTTAATACTGTGAATTCTCTGATAACATGTCTGCTTTTGTTTTTCTTAAGAAACCGATTGCCTCACATGAGAAGGTTCTTGCTTTAAAACCTACAGAATGCGGATAAAATAGATTACAGTACTTAAATATAAAAATAGACTCTCTGCTTCTGCTTCACTCTCTGATTCTGTCTTGGAGATGGATGGATGATTGGAGATGGACGGATGGATGCTCCTGCCGTGTCCACAGGCCTCTCAGTGGCACATCCGAGAAGTCATCTCTTTCTGTGGAAACAAAGACACACATCCTGGTCAGTTATTCATCAGAAAACTCCCTTTGGTCGACGCTAAATAATATCAGACTTGTAGGTCCAAACATGACAGTCCACAACTGCATCTTAAAACACAGTTTCAGTTAAAACGTATAAGCCATATTAAACAGATTTATTACAAAGAGACTGATATAAATCAGAGGTTTGTTTCTGTTCATGGAGAGCTTTTGAAAACCCAACATTCATTTTTTCAGAAAAAACAAAACAAAAAAAACAACAACAACTAAAGGTTACAGAGTGATGGTGGCTAAAATTAGAAAGAATAGGCAAATATTGGAGCTTTTTGTTTCTGAGGAATACCAGGAGTAGAAATTTATTGATCTCACAATGGAGACGTTCACTTGTGAGATCAGCTCTTATAAAAGAACAGGAGCTGCACAAAGGACGAAAAGGTGCATGAAGTATATACAGTGCATACAGTGGATGGTAAACATATACAGTATCTTATGTACAGTGAAGTGGTGGCCGGTAAAGTGTGGTGTCTGGTTTGTTGAAGAGATAAATAATAGAAGTTATTGCAGTGTTATTACACCAGGTTATAGTGCAGTGGCATTGTAAAATCGAAAGGAGTGACATTATGCGTTGGTTTCTGGAAGCTATACTAGAAAATACTCCATAATTCTGAGTCTTTGTAATGGTCCGATACAGAAATGAAATGTTCTAAAATAAAAGCATAATTTGTAAGAGAAGGAAACCAACATCATCCTGCTGAAGACCATCAGTGACACAGACAAGAACACAGTAAAACCAGTCAGACTGCACTCAGCCATGCCTTGAAATTCCTCCTTTGAATTCCCCAAGGGAGCGGGGTGGGGGGCCTTCTTCATGCATTGAAGGACTTTTGCGATGTAATAGTTTGTATTAGTGTTCCATTTTTTTTATACATGAAAAAAATAAATTGAATCCAGAAATTCAATGTAAAAAAAAAAAATGTTTGAATAATAAAAAAAAAGGTTTTGAGTGCAACTTTTCTGATTTTTTAAAATTATTTTGAAATGCCATTTGAACAATTTTTGAACTGATTTTATATTTATTTAGTATTTTTCATAATAATTGTTTAGCAGGAGTTTCAAATTACAATCTTTTCAAATTGCATTTTTACTGATCATCACATTAATCTTCATCCTTTTCTCAGGAGAGAGGAGTGAAGATGCCAACTAAGGAAACACTGGTTTAACTCTCTGCCTTTATTGCTTTCTATGCATGTTTTTACATTTCAAAATGTGGGAGGCATCAGCTTACGAGATAAAATCTTAGATTTTTTTCCTGCTTATTCAGATTAATCCATTTTTCTCTTTTTTTGTCATAAGAAAACATTATATAAAACATTTTGCAAAATGTGCTTTTACTTCATCCTCTCCTCCTGAGAGCTGACCTTTATTCAAAGTGCATCTAAATCCAACCAGAGAAGCACGCTTCTAAAATAAATCTGCAGGCCCGTTGTCATTGACAACCATTGTTATCTGACAAAACAAAATGTTTACAGACACTTTTTTAGTTCTGAGTACACATATTAAAGAAAAAAGAAAGGAAACTGATGTTACTTTGAGCTACAAAAGCCAAATGAGTAAATTAGTGGAATATAATCTTCCTAAATGTTAGATTTGAATTGTTTTATCACTCAGCCCCTAGCGGTACCAGCAGATCTGTTGCAATATTGGCACCAGTGTGCAAAGACAGAAAACATGTTTTATGCAGCCAAACCCACATAATGCTGAAAGCTACTATGAACAAGGATTGTTGGCAAATTATTAGAAACTCTTTATATAATCACTTCTTTTAAAGCAGTATTTTCTTTTAAAGAAAAGATTGCCTAAATAGTTGACAAAGTCTCCTCAACTCCAGAGAACTACTTTATGATCAATTATCTGAGCAAATAACTACAGGAGATTATTTTTGTCACCCAAATATCATCTTTATGGTGTAATCAGGCTCTTTACTGCAGGAAAAATGTGGGTTTGATTTATTATAGAATAATTAAAGCAGGACAACTTTTCCCATCTGTTTTCCTTATATTATTTCAGCTTTATTCTTCTAAAGTAAGCATCAGACCACAGAAAATCCCTCGTCTTTTTAGAGCAGCACAGATGTTTTACAGAGCTTCTCGCCACTAATCACATGAAAGACAGACATTCATGTTTAAAACACAGAAAATAGGTCAGAGAAAAAAGGGTTAAAGCCCTGAGTTTACAGTTCAAGCAGCTGATAAGAGAGACCTACTTCTTAGATGTTAGAAAATGTCAAACCCACATGCTACAGCAGAAAAACATGTCGCTTCAAATCCATAAACAAGTCCCTAAGAGGGGGGAGGGGTCATCATGTTGAGCATACCCAGAAGGGGGGCATCAGAAAAACTAAAGCGATGGTATATTTGAAGGAAAAATAGAGAGAAACTGTACTTCACAGCCAACTAAAATGAACCTACAGGTCTCCTGTGTTTATTTCCACAGGTGGAAGTTTCTGTTTTTAAAAAGGGAAAGAAATTAGCAGTTTGCATGACTCAGATTTTCTTATTGAAGCTTCAGGTATGTCTTGGTTAAAAAAGAAATCATCCAAACCTTAAGAAGTTTTTCTCTGAGTTAATTCAAAAGACGGACATCATATTAATTAGATTCAGTGGAGGGATGCATTTTAAGCATTTATTGAAACTAATTTTAATTAGGGTTGTCCCGATCCAATACTGCGATTGAAAATAAGACCCATATCAGGCAGAAAACACCGGAATAAACCAGCCAGCAACTAAAATCTCAGATTTAGGCAAGCTGATAGAAACCGTCCACTTCTGTTTAGAGTTTCTGTAACCATTGATTACCAATACATGCATAAGAGGTTATCATAATTATTATTATTATTATTATTGAGTATTGTTTTCTGAATAACATCACTTAAACTGTTTTAACGTAACACTATAAAAGTAATAATAAAATAATGAATGATTAATGTTATCGTATCGGGTCAGTATTGGTTTTGGTCCTTACTAAAAACTGTAACATTAGAATCATATCGCAAAAAAAAGAAGTTGTAATTATGATAATAAAAGTTTTAGTTTAAAATCAACACACTATAAGGACTGGAGCTTTGAGTATAAAGCCTTATTTTATCATAATTAACTGGATTGTGGTCTTTTAGGTATAGGTGTTTAACTTTACTACATTATATTCCGAACTATAAGCTACTTTTCCCCGACGCATGTCCCAAATTCACACATTTATTTGTTGCATTAAAGCTGTGGAACCAATGAAGAGCCTGGTCTCAACTCTCGCTGAGCTGAAATAATGAGCCAATGAAACCTCATATTTCATTAGAAGCTCTGACTGCCGCGATCTAACAAGCTAACAGGTGTTAGCATTCTTCTTCCTTACCTTAGGGGCGTATGTAGAATTTTGTGGGGGACATTTCAGTGGATATCAGCAGCTTATGGCCTAGTGCTGCTTATATATCTACATTTCCAGTAAAAAAAAAAAAACACTTTGTGGTGGCGGTTTATGGCTAAGTTTGCTCTATAGTCTGGAAAATACGGTATTTGCCTTAAAGAAAAATGAACAAATCCTCATTGACAGCCGTATCGGTCCTGTTAACCATATTATTAAGGTCACATTCAACATTTCCGTGAGACTTTATCTCAAACAACATTGTTGAGGACGCACAGTGATGGGCCTGATAACATTCAACTCTCACATGCTCCCTCAATGACTCTTTCAGACCCTTCTGGCAACTTGTTTTTTTGGTTTTGTTTTTAAAAAAAAGCATCAAGTGACTTTTTCCTGTGCTGTTTAGGACTTTTGCAACAAGTAAAAGCATCGATCAATCTTAGTTTCCTGTCTTTGAGCCGTTCCCACCTCTAAACCGCAGACTGAGTCTCAGCAGCGTCATCGTGCAGCAAATCCTGCCTGCAGTCAGAGCAGGGAGGAGACCGACTCTTCAGTTTCCAACTAAAAATGAGTAAATCTTCCACTGATTAAACCCTAATTTACAGAGCGGGATGCAAATATAACATAAAAATAATCCTTAACATAGTAGAGGATTTCATAAGTTAATAATAATCAGATCCTTGATGCGCAAACTACCTCTATCAATTACTCTACAATTACTTCTACCATGGATGCATCTGCTGTCTTTTAGTTGAATTTGATGACATAAATAAATGAATTCATGCATTTTGGATTCAAGTAGAATATTAACATACACTTATAATGATGTAATAAAGTTCATTTTTAGTTTTAGACATATTTATAGTTGGTTTTTAATCACTTTCCACCTTACAAGTGTTCATTTTCCTCTCTGACAACCTGGGTGACAGAATACCTTAATTTTTGATGATGTCATCAAACAACTTTGTTAGACTTTTAGATGAGCCAAAGTGAATCTTAGTATTTTAAATATGGGGCTGCCACAAAAACATGCAAAATAATTTTTTTTTGGACAGTGCAGTTTGTTTATCTAGCAATACTGTTTAAAATAAACAACATATTTGTTTATTTAAGTAGTATTAAGTATTGTGTTTAAGTGTTATATTGTGCTTTAATATAAACATTTATTTATACAGTGCCTTTAATGTTTTATCTAAATATAAAAGTTAGTTACTTGTACTCTCAATTTAATTTCTTAAATCGTGTTTACATAAACAAAGCAGTCGATGGTGACTGAGTGAAACCAAAGGGTGAAAACCCAAAAACAAAAGAATCAATACATAGTACTCTTAAGAGAAGTCATAAATAAATCCTAGCAACTGTATAAAAGAAGAAATCCAGCCCTCTGAACAGCCATTACTTCAGCAATGACCTTTAATTGAACTGAACCACTAGAATAGATCATTTTTCTAATTATACTCTACTTTCTAGAGACACACATGTATCTAAATGTGTTACTTGAATCTTTAAACAACCAAACAAGGGATTTAAATATAGACTTATGATTAATTGATTAATGGTTTATTGTTTCATAATGTAATGGAGGGCATTAAGCAAAATATTTGTAACATGTTAGAGAAAGACATGCTAGCATTAGCACGGTAGAGAGGGGGGCTCTTGGAGTTCATGCATTTCCTGGAGCCAAGCTTTAACCTTTCAGAGCAACCGAACCACCTGTTTAAAAGCGCTGCTGAAAGAACAAAGTCTCTCTGATCACCGAGTGCAAGCTTAGGCTAAAAACAGGAAACTATATCACAGTTAGGGTCCACTTCGTAGAAAGGAAGGGGCCAATAGTCTGACAGCATGTTGGAGCGACATAACCTGTTTTAAGTGATTGCATAATTTTTCTGTACATTAGAAATTAGAAATGATTCACATATTTTATTCATATTTATTTCCATTCAGTAACCAAACAGGTTCTTGCTTCGTCACATCTCATAAATATGTACTTTCATAATGTGTAAGACAGTTTTTGTTTTGTTTTTTCCCTTGGCATTTAATCCCGCTGGCAGAACAAGATGTTCAAATATAAGGATTTACTATTTTCCTTGAAAAATTCAGCATATTGTTGGGAGGGAAAAAAAAAAACAACGAAAAAAGATCCTCTTTTTACAAAATAAAAGGCAAGTTTTTAACGAAAATGTCGATCAGCCAGATAAACTTTAGACTAATTAATTTAGGGCTGCAACTAACGATTATTTTGTAAATCAATTCCTCTATTGATTATTTTTCGATTAATCGATGAATAATCATATCGCCGAAGATTCATTAAAGAAGATTTTGACGAAATTAAACCAGGTGAAACTCAAACTTTTCCCCCGAAAAAGTTCTGGTTAGAACACTTTGATGGATGAAAACATTTTTTAATATTAAACGCAAAATTTTGTATACTTTTATTTATGATCTTGATATAATCACTGCTCTAATTGGGTCGATCTGTCAGCTAAAAGCTGTTTTAGCCCTAAATGAATTAATCAATAACTTCCACCCCTAAGCCTTACATACAGCCTATTAAAAGATGTAGCTTTCTTACAAAAGTGAAACAATAATTTGTGAAGCTTCGTATAAAGTTACTAAATGTTATAGTAATGTAAAAAATGTATAATCCAGTATATCTCCATTATTATTTTTGCAAACATCTGATTAATCCTAAACATGTTTCAATCTAATTTGATCATCTGTGCTGATTTAAACATGGATCTTATTTACTGTACCTTTCCAAAGCAGGTTTGCTTTATAATCTGTCCTCACTTAAGCTCCATCTAGTGTTTAATTACCATTGCTTCATGTTCAGATGTGTTGGACTCACCAGGGGTTCCAGTTCTTTGTGGTCCGTTAGGTTGAACTCAGTGACGAAGTAATAGAAATGCTTGTAGCAGGTGTTGACGTGAGCCTCGGCCCCCATCTGGGAGACACGGTCAAAGTGGTGGATGTAGACGTGGACAAACACCCGGAACAGACGTGACAAAATCTTCTTAGCCACCTGCATGAAGGTCTTAGGGAAGGGAGTACCTAGAGGAGGGAGCAGATGGACAGCACTGCGGTCAATCCATGAGTTTGTCTGCATTCATCCTCTCAGCTTCCTTTGATTGAACACCAGCTGACTCAAAGATGTGGCAAATGATGCATATGTTTATATTTGCTTTGTTTTTAGCAACAAGCCTGGCTTTTAAATTGTTATTTGTTTTGACAAAATTAACAGTATCTAAGGAAGCAGTTTAAGCGTATGAGCACATCAGAGCGGGATTCTATTCATAGAGCACTGGGCATGGGGTGACCCATTTTTTAATCCATTGCCTGGATGTTTTTGTTGTTAAGTCAGCTGTTGAGCTGGAGCAGAGGGCATATGCATGCATGCAGAGATAATATCCATCCAAGAATGCCACAGTCGCGGATTGACTCCATCCCTAATGTTTGCCACGTGAAACACAGAAGACAATCTAATGTATGCGGCCTTGCGGAGCGTTTCACATTTTATTCTATTCTCCCTGAAGAAACCGTTCCAGGTCATTAAACTGTAAACTCAGGCTTATCAAATACAGAACAAGCTATTCACTTTTTTTTTTAATAAAAAAGAAACCTGTGTATTATATAAACTGTATATCTGCTGAGCTATTCTCATGCACATTTCCAAAGCATTAGCTGTTCTAAACTTTCTAAATTATAATTTTGTTACCGTATTAACCATTTATTAACTTGTGGCAAAAATCGATGATGTTTACTGTAACAAACATCTCTACTTTACATCATGTTTGACTTTTTTTCTTTAAACTAAAAGAGACTATAGCAGTCTGTGCAAGCTGCAAATGAAACATTTGAAAGTTTAAAACCAGCATGGCGCTTAAAGCTTCTGCTTTAATGTCAAACTAAACTGGTATACATTCTGTCTGGTGAGCTTGCAAAGGAGGAAGTGGTCTTAAATGCGGAAGAACTTCAAATTGAGCGACGGTCTGTAAGGTTCCAGTGTGAACCGCAGCAACACAAGCGTCGTGCATGATGAGACGCAGCTGAAAGTAAACAGTAGAGGTTTTAAAAGCTTCCGATTCCAGGCATTAAATGCTCAATATTATTCCTTAAAAAACACAGCTGGTTAGGATTAGAAAAGAAAAGATGTGCATATATTTCCAAGTATTTTGGCTCATCCTAAACGCCTGTAAAACCACCTTTATAAACATGATTTTCCTTCTGTTCTGAGTAGGGTAACAGCCCAGAAACACATAAAGCATCAAATTACAGCCAGAATAATAAACAACCTTTTTTTAACTTGGTGCTATTGTAATATTTTTCCCCACAGAGAGAAGTTTAGGAGTTGAGATTACCGTAATCCTTTGTTATTACTGTGTTTCAGACAACCATTAGAGTTTGTCTGTTGAGATCTAAAAGCCTTAAAAAGAGCAGCCTGGATGCCATAAACACACTTTGCTAAACAATAAAAGATATTCTGCTACAATGAGTCCCAAACAAATCCAATGGTGAATGAATCACTTACCGACGTTGGTGGGGAAGATATTCTCGTTGTTGATTTGTACCTCAATCCAGTCCATGAGCAGGCTCATGTACTTTGGCGCCGACAGGGCGGTCGGCCTCTTGTACTTGTGCTCATCTTGCCAGCGGTATTCGTACTTGGGCCCGCCGGACATGACAGGACAGGTCTGATCGGTGCACGAGTCACTGATGGTGCCATAGATGAGGTTGATTCGGTTGAAGAAGTCCACCACGTGGACAGCTACCCAATCGTTGAGGTCCTCGCCGTGAGGCAGCTGCACGGCCTGCTTCAGGTCCAGGCCGGCGTTTAGAGACGCCTGCGCCTTCTTGTGCAGCTCGAAGCGCTGTGTGCCGGGCTCGAACTTCCGTTTGGGCCGGAACGTTCTGTCTTTGTTGAAGACTTGCTTCAGGGCCATGGACATGGTAGATTATTCACTGTCGGGATGGAGGCAGTCTTAAGGGCGCGTAAACAACCTGTGCAGACTTCTTCCTGAAGAGCTTCTTTTGGTATCGGCTGCTTATCCTGCATAAAGTGAAAATAAAAATAAGAATCTGATTCATATAACAATATTTAGAGGCAATGATTCCTGTTAAATGTTGAATTAATTTAGCAGATGCTAGGTTCTCAAGGTTTTTTTGTCGGCTAATATTTGATTTTTCAGATTTTAACACAAATATTGAACGTACTTCCTTGACACTTTTACTTTTAGCCACTAGGGGCACTGGGTCTGTAACTTCCAGGTTTAATCTTCCTGAAAGCAACTTTTAGCACAGCTCTGTCACACAGTAAAACGGTCTTCCTCTGTGTTGGAGAAGATTCTCGGTCAACCAGGTCATAGTCCTTTCAAAAAGATTTGAAAACAATCCACTGGACGTTGTTTCCAAGTTTGAAGACGTTTCGCTTCCCATCCAGGAAGCTTTTTCATTTCAAATGTCAGGAATAGCTAGCAATGTTAGCTTGCAATAACAAAACAAGCTAAATGACCCCCATTCCAAAGTGGTGGTCCAGTTTGTCCATTTCAATTTCTCTGTTTTCAAAACAAAAAGGCTTTAATGGGTATAAAACCTCGAACTGAACGTTATTCCTGATATTTTGAATTGAAAAAGCTTCCTGGATGGGAAGAGAAACGTCTTCAAACTCAAAAACAAAGTCCAGTGGATTGTTTTTAAGTTTTCCTCTGTGTTAAAAACCGCCTAGCAGACCAGTTTTGCCCAGTGGATTGGGACGTCATGCAGTTAGTTATGAATTAAAGGCCACAAGTAACGCTCTAGATGAAATACTACACCAGGGAACCAGAAATATGTCTGATCAGTGTTAGCTTAGTTAACTCTAGTGTTTATGGGGAGCTCAGACTGCTGTAAAGCCACACTCTGGGCCACATGACCCATTTAATGACAAAACCCGACTCTTTCAAGTTAAAGAAGCTTTGGAGAAGAGCAGCTTACATGGAGCATCGATATATACACCACCGATTTAATAACTAATTCTTGTGAAATGGATTTAAATCAAGTTGCCTACATTTAAATTTAGTTGCCTAAATTATTCACGTTTGAAGACTATTTATTGCACATTATTTAAAGGATGTTGAAGATTGTTATATTTGTCTGTTGTGATTAGCACTGGTGGTTTGTATTTTGTTTAATTGTATTTGCACTTTGTTTTGCAATTTTTCAACATTTACGCAGAATTGCTTTAATTAGACGACACAAGGTGCAGATTCTATCAAAATAGGAAAATGTTTTCATTTAATAAGGAAATGAACAACAATCTTTGTTAAAAAAATGATGGATGAAAGTTCGTTTTTGATTCTAAAGCACAAAAACTAATACAGTTTTTAAGGTTAAAAACTCCACAATCATTATCGCATTAACAGAGGTGATCTTTCAGCTACAGAAAAGCATGACTACATTATTATGAAATGAAAAATATTCTGATCATTAAGCAGGGAGACGATTTGTTGAAGGATATTTTGTTGATAGTTGCAATATTTCAAAAATATTTACTTTAAACTAAGCACCGTTTTGGGGATTTTAGGTAACGGACCTTTACCTGCTTCAAATAAATTATCCAGATTAACTACTGAAAGAGCTAAGTTAATCCTTAATAACAGATTAGTACAAAGGTGTATTTCAATTGTGTGTATTTTTACAAACCGTTTAAACTGTTTTTTTTTTATATATATATATATTTTAGGTTCAAAACTAGTTTCCTTTTACCTTTAAAGTCAGTTTGAACCAAATGCAAGTAAAAAAGCCTAGAGTGACCTGAGATGTTGGACAATAACAAATAAAAATGGACAAAATAACAGTTGGCTCCATTTTTTCAGCTGAGGAGAGAAGTTTTGAATGGTACTAATAAAAAAATATATATGTGTATAGATATATATTTAAGTACATACACAAAAAATGATCAAAATCAGAAATGCTGCTAGTTTATGAGACTTCAATACTTGAATAATAACCAACCATATATAAAAAAATAAATAAAAACATCCATCCATATATATATATATATATATATATATATATATATATATATATATATATATATATATATTATGTTAGGGGGAAGGCAAAAAATGACATCTTTTTCAAACTTTTATATAAAGACAAATGTATTAATCATGTAGTTTGTTGTAATTGGATTACATAAGGGGGAAACAGAAAAATAAAAATTAAAGTGTATTTCTTTGACAGATCTTTGTGCATCCTGTGGATACAGGTAGAACACATAAAAAAACCCAAAAAGGTTAGATGGTTAATATGAGCAGCAGCTTTAATTTAACTATACTTTTAAATAGAATTAGAATAGAATGATTGATGCAGGTAAAGCAGGCGTACTTCCACATTTGAGGTGAAACAGGGTTTCCGTGAGTCATTTCCTTTCCCAGCGCCCTGAAGGCACCACCATGCTCACTAACCATCAGGACGAAGCCTGTTAGCTTTGCAAACGCTCATTAGTGCGGTTATTTAGGCTCAGTCTGAAGTATGCGCCCCAATAAACCTCCGTATCAAGGCGGATTTGTGTCGTTTTGGCTCATTTTCCAGGATGAAACCCGGAGATTAAGCCAGCGGGGCACATGACGACTGTTGGTGAAGTTTGTCCGTGACGCTAGAAAACGCGCTCCGACTTGTTGCTCAAAAACACCTGAAAAGCCGCCTCTGAATTAGACAAAAGAAACCAAACATACCAGCACTAGATCCACATTACATTTATCATTACAGTTATCATGAAAAGCGTCCGTTATCTGAGACGGTCTGATCAAACGGTGACGAAACCGCACCAGTTGAAAGCCACTTTCCCGAACTTACTTGTTCCGCCTTCCTGTTTCCTTCGGTCTTCAGCCGAAAAATGCTGCGATAAGATCGTCGATAGGTTTACGTCAGCGATATATACGACCTACATTATTCGGACAGGAGGCTAGACATGCTTTAAGGTTGTGATAAATCAATAAACATGTCACTATAATCAAGAAACTAAACGACTCCTCCCTGCGATACGAAAAGTATAGCAGCACAAAGTTAGCGGTGACTCCGCCGACTTCCGGTTTGGACTTTCAGAATAGTTGGGGAAAAATAAAATAAATAAATAAATAAATAAATATATATATATATATATATATATATATATATATA